GCAGGCAAGAGGCCCGTAGGATGAGCTCATGGATTATGGTGGATTTTGCATTTTGTGGTCATTGGGCTTAGGCTAGACTTAGGGCATGAACACTGTATGTAGAGTTAGACTTATGCATTGTATCATCACTGTTCATGCCATATTTTGTCTAAGTTCAGCTTATGTTTATCATTATTTATTTTGGTGGATCATTATGTATATTTGGAGAATTGTTGTAATATTTGTAAAGAAGCTTGCAATTTGTATTATGGAGACTTGATGTAATATGGAAGCATATGTATACGATGAAAGGGTAATAGGCCTATTCTAGGATTTGATTTATGTTTTATGTCGAAGAATTGCATGCAAAGGGATTAATGTGATTGAAATGACTTAAGGATTTATAATGAAATCATTGAATTGTAAAGTAAGCTAAATGATATAAATTGTGAAGGATTGTAAGAGCACCAAGGCATTGCTGGTCCTTGAGTGCCACCCGTGATTATTAGGTATAAAATTGAGGTTAGATAACACACCTTCAAAGGTGGGATTTATTGGAAAAACAAAGGAAACTTTGGCAAAATTTCTAGAAATTCACAGAATTTGGGTGAACTTTAGGAGAGCATATCTGCCTCCACAAAAGTCCAATAGGGACGTGCCATACGCCATTTTAAAGATTGTGATGTCAAATACCTCGTGTCAAAATTTGAGAGTCATAGAAGTTGCAAGCAGTCCTGTAGAAGGAAAAGAGAATAGACTGCTCAAAACGCCACTGCACTTGTGGCTGTTCTGGTGCAAGTTTGGAAAATTTATTCCTGCTTCGTTTCTTGGTCAAATTAGGTGTATGATATGTCAAATTGAAGCTTGAGGTGGCTAGTTTACTGTATACAAATTTGAGAGAAATTGGTTGAGTGAATTTTCCATAATCACTGAGAGAGTGAGGACTGTTCGGAGTCCTGTTTGGGGTTGGCTGACAGATTTGCTTGTCTAACTTCAAACGATGATATCCGAAGCAAACGAGAACTTTATGACTCGTGTGATAGCTCGTTAGAAAGGTAATTAAGTCTAGAATAACTACTAAAAGATGAGAGGTTCTCGACATGCAGTTTATCCGCAGTAATTAAAATACCTAACCATGTTCGGATAGGTAGAAAATGTAAAAGTGTGATTTTAGCTAAGTGGGTTTATGGAAACCCCTTTGTGACTTGAGAGAAGTATTATATGATGTTTAGACAGTTTAAATAATAATTCCGCAAATAGTTTACAGTTACGATCACAACTTTTATTTATTACGCTTATTATTATTTTAAATGCTCGCGTAATAAAAAGGAAAAAGTTTACTCGCATTTTTATAAATGAATTGCTGTGATTGTAACTGCGCTTAATATCATAGTCAATGTTAACAATACATGTGTACAACGGGCTGTTACATTGACTAGACAAGGGAATTCATAATAAAAGATATGAATGACTAGGTCGCTTTCAGCGATTACTTAAAATTTGAAATCACATTCACATATGATAAATCCTTTCACCTTGGGTTGTTTTCCCATTCATTCTGAGGTTATTAGCATAATTAATTCATGAATTAATATATATATATATATATATATATATATATATATATATATATAAAGTTTTGACCTTTTAAAAAAAATCTAAATTTCTTGATTCCATTCAACAACATGGATTTTATAATCGTATACACAAGACTCTGATACCAAATGAAAGATTTAAAATTCCAGGATCATGTATATGATTATAAAATATCCAAATAATATGAAATCAGGGTAGGGATTATGCGTACCTTGTTGGGCTATCACAAAGCCGGAGGAAAGGGGAACATGACGGCTCATGAGATGGGAGCATGACGGCTCATGAGACTTGACCCCAATATAAATAGGCTAGGGAAAGGACCTAGTCAAATACCCTAAAAAAGTTTGTCTATTGGATCCACCCATCATGAAAAATCAGGGTCACACTAAAGCCTACACTGATGCCCAACTAAGCCCAATTCTAACATATGCCAAAAGTCCAACTCAATATGATTACAACGGGCTAATCAAAATAATAAAATTAGAATATCTATTAACTCGATTAATTTTAAAAAATAAAAGTAATTGCCCACATAAATAAAATTTTCCAACAACAGTTTTATTATCAGTTGGTCTAATCACCAAAACTAGACCTCTTGTTATGCTTGACATCATGTAATGAAAAAAATCTATACACCTTCCTTTGGAAGTTGTATTTGACAAATTCTACTCTTCTAAGGGAGATTTCTCATGCTTCCTCTTTGTTATTATACATGTAATTATTATATTTGTGTGTTTTCATATCTTTAGGGTAATGCTTGGTTCATTATTTATTATGATGTAGGAGGAAAGTGCAATTCTTATGCATAAAATTCTTACCAGAAAAGTTAGTGTCTTTTTATATATTTGCTTTGAAATATAATAAGTGGCAATTGTGCATTTGAATTTTTAAACTTATGTGACATTATTTAGTAAATATTTTATATTAGTATGCGAGAATTCATAGTAAATTTTGTTTCCTAATAAATTTATGTAATTACGATAAATATTTTGATAATTTAATATGTAAATTTTTTTGGCCCGAACTAAAATTGAAACCTGACTCTGCCACATGATGCAGTGCTCGTCTTCTTCGTCATTCCATTCGTAATGTTCTACTAAGAAGGGACCTTGACAAGTAGGTAATCTTTTTTTTTTGCTTCATTATTTTAAATTGATTTTTTATTTATTTTGAAATGTTGGATTATTGTGGAATTTGTGTGCAGGAGTGTGGGTAAAAGGATTATGCGTGCGTTGTTGTGGATTGTGACGACGGCTATAATGTGCGCTCTCATTCTGTGTATTTTATATGATATAACTATGAAATTCTATTTACTTTGAACTTTGTATTGCACCTTTTTTTAGTTACTTTCTCTGTATGTGTGTGTGGGTGTGTATATATGTAAGGTAGGACTGAGTTGTTGTTTGTGTAACAGTTGAAGTGTATTTTCAAGGACCGAGGATTATGGGAACCTTGGGTGGTTGGATAACGGATTGGATTTGTTTGATGGCCATTTGGTTAGTACAGTCTCTCAACATGAAAACAAAAGGAGGGTTTCGTGTAATTAATGCAGGGTGGGATACGTTAATCGATTATTGTAATCGATTAACTTTGTTTTCAATAGTAAAAGTTTTTTTTTTTTATGATTTAATCGATTAGTGTTGTAATCGATTAAACCTTCACTTGATAGTTAAATATGGGCAGATTGATGGAATATTTTGGGTTAAGAAAATTTGGTTATTTTTTAATTAATGAGGGGCATAATGATCAAAAAAGTCAAGAATTAGGGGCTGTTTGATTTCTCTTTCCAAAAATAGTTTTATGATTTTCAGAAAAAAAAAAAAAAAAAAAAAAAACCTATTTGATAAGGCCTTTTTTTTTATGAAAATAGTTCTAAAAATTATAACTATTTTTAAGTTTTAGAATCAAATTTGAAGAACATATGAGTTGTTCTACAAAACAGTTTTAACAATTGTTATCAAAAAAAAAAAAAAAAACAGTTTTAACAATAAAAAAGAGTAAATATCATATTTGGTCCTCAGCAAATTTCATGATACCCGCTTTAGTCCCTAGCAAATAAAAAGGCTATTCGTGGTCTTAAGAAATTCAAAATGGACTCACTTAGTTAAAATCGTGGTACCTCACAAATTCAAAAAAGACCCACATTAGTCCCTTAAAAGGACTAAAATGGATCCACTTTGAATTTCTTAGGAACCATGAATAGCCTTTTTATTTGCTAGGAGATAAAGCAGGCATCGTAAAATTTGCTGAGGATCGAAAAATGTATTTACTCGTAAAAAAATTATAACAAAATCAAACGCACCCTAACTCTCTGCTTTTTAGTGATTATGTTTCCTTATGTAATACTCATTATATTCTTTTGAATTAATTTCTTCATGGGGCTTAATGTATACTTATCATTTGTGTGACGCGATTTTTCGGAATCTTTGTAAAATAAAAAGCATCAAATTTATTTATTAGCAATAATAATATTTTAATATTTTATCTTTTCCTTTTAGTAAGGAAATTTGAAATATTGATATGATTTATATTTAATAAATGATATCGTGCACTTAAATGCTTGAATATTAAAATTATTTATGAAATATTATGAAAGGATTTCGAATTACCACTAGATAATATTTTCATGTTTCTCAAAAATCATGCCGGACAAATTAAAATTATTTGTGGTGTTAAATATAGCTAATTTTAATATGATGTTTTCAACTGACCGTTACTAATTCAGTTTTTAAAATATTTTCCAGAATAAAAAAGGATTAAAAGAAAAGGATTATAAATTTTCAGTTTGGTAAGATGAAATTGACACTATGAATTATGATGTAATCCATTACATCACACTTGTATATTGAATTAATAATAGATTGGAAACCAAATGTGAGTGTTTCTCTTGGGCAAAAAGAAAAAGGAGAATTTTTTTTTTTACTTGGCTGACTTAAGCCATGACACACAGTGAGAACTCTAATATCTATTAGACATTACGTTTCAAATTAGAAGTCCTAGAACTTAGCAACGGTCAATGTATCGGGAGCATGAATTCGGTATTATTTTTTATTAAAAAGGAAAAATTATTAAGATTTAAAGAAAAATATAAAAAAAATAGATAAAAAAAGAAAAAAAAAATCTCTTTTAAATAAAGGAGAACGCCAAATTTGATGCTCCCACACTGAAATTGTTCCCGAGCAATTGAGCATTCTGTCTATAAAGAAAAAATAAAAGTAAGTCAACCAAAAAAAGAAAAAAAGGAATTATGAGAATATGCGTCGACATTCCAGTAAACTACAATAATCAAGCCTATACGTTTTGCATTACATTATTATATTCCAAAGTCCATAAAACTATTCACTCCAAAGCCACTATAAATAAACAAGCCTATACGTTTTCTTGTCATTACAATTCACTTCTTTGAGTTCTTGTCATTTCTTCATCTTTCTGTACTATATCTTAACTATAAGAATGGCGGATGAGGTGGTTCTGCTAGATTTCTGGCCAAGTCCCTTTGGGATGAGGGTTAGGATTGCACTTGCTGAGAAGGGTATCAAGTATGAGAACAAAGAAGAGGACTTGAGGAACAAGAGTCCTCTGCTCCTCCAAATGAACCCGGTTCACAAGAAAATCCCGGTTCTTATCCACAATGGCAAGTCCATTTGTGAATCTCTCATTGCTGTTCAGTACATTGATGAGGTCTGGAATGATAGATCTCCTTTGTTGCCTTCTGATCCTTACCAGAGAGCACAGGCTAGATTCTGGGCCGATTTTGTTGACAAGAAGGTATACCCTTTTGCGTTAATTTTTGTGATTGTTGCTTGTAATTTCTTTGCCTTTGCTTTTATTGATATGCTTTTAGAATAGAAATGACGTAATTTAGGTTATTACCATGTTGCTGTCTATTATTATTTCTGACCCGTTACATGTAATGTGAAACATGTGAGATGCATATAATGGAAAATGGACCCTTTTTTCTTTTAAGATTCTCCACAACCAATCTTTGGTCATTAGTATTAGTTCAACTACTTTTCCTGTTTGAAAGTTTTGTTTTAATATTCCTCTGCCTCCTTTATATACATGTAGCAAAAGATCCTACTTATCAGAGATTAGACAGGAAGTGTCTTTTATGTCAAACAACAAAAAGCATTTGGAATATTATCTTTGACAACTCTTTTAGTATAGTTGTTAGTGTCCTTCCCCTTTTTCATTCTTGCATTTTATGGTCTAATTGAGTGTGTTTATTCTCAAATGTCAAATAGATAAATGATATTGGAAGGAAGCTTTGGACAAAAAAAGGAGAAGAACAAGAAGCTGCCAAGAAGGACTTCATAGATGCCATTAAATTGTTGGAGGAACAGCTTGGAGACAAGACTTATTTTGGAGGAGACAAGATTGGCTTTGTGGATTTAGCACTTGTTCCATTCTACTCTTGGTTTAAAGCTTATGAGACTTTTGGCAACTTCAAGACAGAGAGTGAGTGCCCCAAGTTTATTGCTTGGGCCAAGAGGTGCATGCAGAAAGAGAGTGTTTCCAAGTCTCTTCCTGAACAGGAAAAAGTCTATGATTTCATTGTGGAGAGAAGAAAGAGGATGGGTATTGAGTAGATTGGAGGCATATTAGTAAAGTACTTGTCTGTCATTGTTCGTGTGCTTCTCCTTTCATATAAAGTATTTAGTAACCGAGGACACTTAAAGGTGCCAAACTTCATGCTTTGTTGCATGAATATGTTGGTTTTCAAATAATTAAGATGTATCTTGGATTATTATATAGTTTTATTATATAGTTTTATTATCAGTTGGTCTAATCACCATAACTAGACCTGTTGTTATGCTTGACATCATGTAATGAAAAAAATTTATACACCTTCCTTTGGCAGTTGTATTTGACATATTCTACTCTCCTAAGTGATGATTTCTCATGCTTCCTCTTTGTTTCTTTAAGCATGCACTACAAGAAAATATGTGTTTTGCGACGGATGTTTTGTGACGGTTGGCCTCCAACCGTCATAGAATAAGTTACAACGACGGTTACGTCGACGGTCAACTGAACCCTTGTTGAATATCATAATTCTACGACGGAAATTAGAGACGGTTATCAACCGACGCAGAATGTTGTATTTAAAGTAGGTTCAAACCGACGCAGAATACAAACAAGACGGCGTTTATCAACCGACGCAGAATTTTTTATTTAACGTCGGTTGAAACCGACGCATAATACAAGACAAGACGGCGTTTATCAACCGACGCATAATTTTTTATTTGAAGTCGGTTTCAACCGCCGCAGAATACAAAAGAAGACGGCGTTTTTCAACTGACGCAGAATGTAAAACAAGACGACGTTCTTCAACGAACATGAATATTGTTGTTTGCGAACATTCTTTGCGCATAATGGCACTCAGCTGTATTCGAACACATTATACATTGCCCTAATTTTGTTGAGTATGTCTATCGCCAAAAGGTCATTACTATAATGGACATATATATATAAAACACTGATATTGAATATTAGTTACATAATTTATATAATACTTGCCCTAATTACTATATGGGTCGGGGAAATTAGAATGATCAATACTTAATTGCTAGGACAAAATCCAGAAAGGAAATGATGTAATTATATTGAGTAATAATTGTTCATGGATATCTATTTTGGGAGTTTGTTCATATCATTTCACGTGTACAAGACATGTTAATTCACGATTATTCATGTAATAAGGAGATTACAATAGAGGTGGACATATTTTGTGAAGGATAACTACACATGTATAGTGCCAAGAAGGAGGTTGGCATAAGCTAGACACAATAACAAGTATATTAAAAATTATAGAAAAGGTAATATATATATATATATATACTAATTTTAAATTAAAGTAATTTTTAAATAATTTTTGTATTTGAATTATATATCTTTTGATATTATATCTTTTTTATTTTTTTTCAACTAATAAAAATTTGTATTTTATAAAGAAATATAAAAACTTTGAAATGCTTTCTTTTGAAAAAATAAGTCTTAAAAAAAGATTTTAATTAATAGATAAAAAAGGATAAAATATGTTTACAAAAAAAAGGATAAAACGTAATTTTAATAAAATCATTATAATTACAATGAATTTAAATTCATAAAAATTAACACAAAATGATATAATATGTGGCAAGTTTCAAAGTCATGTGTAATATAAAAAAAATATTTACTATACTTTTCATAATCCATCCCTAACTTATGCAATCTCACCCCAAAATAATGGTCATTACTAAAATTGTGTTGTAAGTGTGGGTGTGCATTGTCCATGTGTGTGTGGATGTGCACTTGCGCATTTATAGTTGTGTGTGAGTAGGGGTGTGTGTATGTTTGCGCGTATGGCGAACCCACACTTGTGCATGTGTCTGCAAGTGTAGGCACAAATAAATGTGCAGACATAACTAATTTTTCTGGATTACCCACTGATCCGTGTATGTGTGCTAGAGTGCGCACACACGTGGGTGTGCAGATGTGTGTGCATGTGTAGGCATAAGTGTGTGTGTGTGTGTGTGTGTGTGTGAACATGGGTGTGGATGTGTGCGCGCGTTGGGTATAGTTCATACCTAGCATTCAAATGACGACTCTTCTTGGTAGGGCGCAGAGAAAGCCGACGGGAGTCTTAACAAACTTATCTCATCTTCCACGTTGCCTCTTGTAGATGGTTTTATGATTCCTCCTCACTCCCAAAACCCCTCCCGCAACCAAAACCGGCAACCGGATCGCCGCCATCAAACAAAGTTCCAACCGCCGCCAATGACCCTTCAACGGTGGGAGGCGCCGACCCACTTCGCAACCTCGCGAGTTCTCTCTCCCTCTCACTCACCTCTTGCTGCTGCCTCAGAACCCCCAAATCCTTGTTGTAATCAGGCTTCTTCAACATCGATCGAATCGCCACATCTGACATCATCTTCGGGTAACTATCACTTACCATTAGATACAGCAAAACAAAAACAAAAAACTTCACTCAACCCAGTGACCCAAAAAACAAACCACGAACAAAAAAATGATATACACGCGGCACTTCAACAAAGACAGAAACTTTGAGCACAAACAGCTTTGAATCAAGAGCTACAAAAAAGTAAAGTTCGATTTTTTATTTTTATTGTTTTGGTTATGGCTAATCAATTACACGAGCTCAGCTCAGAATCAAACGTTAAAGTTGGAAAAAGCTGTGTTTTATTGGTGGGTATGGTGATTGCTTTGATGGGTCAGAATTGAAATGTGGATCGGGGTTGGGTTCAGAGTGAAGAAGAAGAACGTGGAGGATCGACGATGTGTTGGTCCATGTTAGGAGAGAATCAGAAACTGAAATAGATACTTTGATGGAGTAGGCAAACTGCGAGTGTGAAGATGGTGAGGAGTGGTGATAAGTACCAACTCCCCACCCATATGGACCGTTGGATGTCACACTCACAGAAGAAGAAGAAGAAGAAGAAAGAAAAAGATAAAAATTAAAAGATACCTAAACGACGTCGTCTCTTCTTCCATGCTGTCCAACGTGCAAGCCCCGTCATCACACTAACGTGCCACATGGGCACCGTTAGTTTGACCGTGACGGTGGAGTTCACAGAAGGACTAACGTGGCCCCTTTTTTTGTAATTTCAAGGACCAATTTGGTCCTTTTTTATTGAATAGGCTTTACTTTAATGGGAAGCAAGAGCTCCGTGAGTCACCTAAAATATTATCTGGTACTGATATTCTTCAACAAGTTCAAAATGTTCATGTGACTTTCGGTCGGAAACCAAAGATTAGAGGAAAAAGGAAAAGACGTGGTAGTGGACGTGTTGCTCAGGTCGGGACTCAACAATGGAGAAAGAAAAGCATATTTTTTGAGCTTCCATATTGGGAGCACAACTTGTTGCGTCACAATCTTGACGTCATGCATATTGAAAAGAATGTGTGTGACAACATTATATATACCTTGCTAAATGATAGTGCAAAGTCCAAAGATCACATGAATGCTCGAAAAGACCTTAAAGAATGGGATTGTAAGCCTGACCTTTGGCCAGATGCAAATGGCAGATATCCTCCAGCAATGTACACAATGACCAATCAAGGAAAGAAGGCATTTTTATGTACGTTAAAGAATATTAGCGTGCCAGATGGTTTTGCAAGCAACATTTCTCGTTGCATTGATGTGGAGCCTCTTCGATTCAATGGGATGCTAAAAAGTCATGATTGTCATATATTGATGCATCAACTGCTACCATTGGCCATGCGCACTGCATTGCCTGAACAAGTGTCAAGGATTTTAATTGAATTGTGCTCATTCTATAAACAAATATGTAGTAAGGTGTTGAGTGTCACAACTTTAGAAAGACTCCAAAATGAAATTGTTCTCACTTTATGCCATATGGAGATGTTATTTCCCCCTTCATTCTTCACAGTCATGGTTCACTTAACCGTTCACCTTGTTGATGAAGCTAAGCTTGGAGGCCCTGTCCATTATCGGTGGATGTATCCAATAGAGCGATACTTAGGACAATTGAAGTCCTATGTAAAGAACAAGGCGAGACCGGAAGGGTCTATAGCAGAAGGTTACTTAATGCAAGAGATTCTGACATTTTGTTCACGGTACCTAGATGATATTGAGACTAGATTTAATCGTCCAAGTCGTGTTGATGATGCCCCAAATCAAGAATTGCCAAAAACACGAGTACATGAATTGTTTCCCCAAGTAGGGAAGCCGGTTGGGGGTTCTTCATATTTCAACCTCACACCAACAAAAATATTGCAAGCACATAGACATGTCCTAATTAATTGTCCGGCAGTTGATCCATATCTCCAGTAAGTAATTATCACACTTCAATCATTGCAATTACTTCGAAGCTATGGGTTAATTTCATAATCTTGTGCAGGGAATTTCGAACTGAGGTGCGGAGGCAGCTCAGACCCCGTACACGGAATCTTACTCATATTGATAAGAAGGTTCATAGAGAGTTTGTTGAATGGTTCTCTAAACGAGTGAGTACATTTCTCACTATATTCGTGAATAATGCATATATTAACTAAAGTCTATGTTGTGATAACATCTTAATTAACTATTTTCATATGTAGATTGTTAGAGATGTTGACATACTGAGTGAATCAGATAAAGATATTATGCTTTTTCTTGGTCAAGGTCCAATCAGTCAAGCTAGAAGGTTCAGTGCATACAACGTGAACGGGTACAAATTTCGAACCTTGACACGAGATCGAGGCTTGAAAACACAAAATAGTGGGGTATTTGGTACATTTGGAACTAGAAGTTATTCAAGTAATAGTGATAGTCAAATGAGGTTTGGAGATGTCCTATACTATGGGAAATTGATGGACATTATAGAGATCAATTACAATTGCTTTTTCACAGTTACTTTGTTCAAATGTCAATGGGCTAATACCACTAATCCTAGAGGCATCAAGAAAGATAATCTTGGATTTACTTCAATTAATTTTACCAGACTAATTCATACAGGTGAACATGAAGATGATGAGCCATACATTAAAGCATCTGAAGCTCAAATGGTTTATTTTGTGGATGATGAGAAAGAAAAGGGTTGGAGTATACCTATTCATTTGAAACCAAGAGATTTGTACGACATGGGTGAAGATGAAGAAGACATTATGCCATCCATTGAGCCATCTCCATCCCAAAACTTGGAACAAATTTTGTCTGATGAT